ATATATAGGAATACTAAAAACTTGAAGTAGTAAGAATAAAAATAAGTTAAAAAAGAGGGTGGTAGTATTATTACAAGTCGGTACCCCATGACAGGAGGATCCTGCTACTGCCAACGGAAGTCCTAACAATTTCCTGACAAGGGGCTTCCCTTGAGAATTTCCGGTCCGTTTCTACGAGAAATCTCTACCGCACCTTCACAAGTTACGCCTTGTTTACTGTGCCGTTTATCTTCTTGACATTAGTTATGCTATCTTCTTTTTCTTCCTTCTACTTTTTCTTATTTTATTTTATCTTATTATAGTTATCTTTTTTTTTTTATTAATATTGATAATTTCAATGAATAATTAATTAATTGATGATTATATTTATATATATATGGTTTTATATGATTATTTTTTTAACGTTTACATTTGTATATTCTAAATTATTTTAATATTCGATATTTATATATATATTTTAAATAATTAAATTAAAATTAATTATATTAATTTAATTGTAATATATTTATTAAATTAATTATAATATACTTATTAAATTTTATATAATATATTTATAAATTTTAATTTAATATATTTACTAATTTTAATATAATATATACACTATAATTTTAATATAACATATTAATATATTTACTAAATTTAATATAATATTTTTACTAAATTTAATATAATCTATTTACTAATTTTAAAATAGTATATTTACTAATTTTAATATAATATATGTACTAAATTTAATATAATATATTTATTAAATTAAATATAATATACTTACTAAATTAAAATACATTTACTACACATTAAATATATTTACTAAATTAAAATATAAAATTTATATTTCATATTTATTAAAAATATATATTAATAAAAAAATCTATATGCTTATATATTAAATATTATTTCTTATATATTATATATTATACGATTATATTAATTTTCTTGTTTGTGGAATTATTACAAACTTTACGTGCAAACGTTCTATAAAAAGTATGCAACGCTTTGATTGAAAAAAAAAAGAGAAAGAAATAAAAGAAAACTACGAATGTAGAAAGTATCTTCGAAAACAATAGTGTAAAATGCAAAAATCTCGCATGATAAGGTGCATTTTACAGTAAGAAGAATCCTTTCGAACGTCGAAAGAAAATAACTGCGTCGTTGCACACGTTCGTAGAAAATCGTTTGCCCTGTAAGAATGGTATGTACTATCTGATGATGTATCGAAGTTTTATTTTCACGAGAAATATTTCTTCTTGTAAAAATAAAATTCAAAAAAATTCAAAAAGAAAAAAAGAAAAAAAAAATAAACGACGTAGAACGATGAAGCAACAAAAAATTCACGAACGAAAATTCAGGCCAATGCCGAATGGAAAAATGTTTTCAACGATCTGAGATAGAAGATAAGATTGTTATAAGATTGTTTTGTGTGTGTAACCCATAAATAATTAATATTAATATAATAATAATTATTATTATTAAAATCATTAAACTTCGATTAATTTTACATTTATTTTAAACAGACAATAAATAAACTTTAGTTCAACTGAAAAATAAAAAAATAAAAACAAACTCAAAAAAAGACGTCTCGTCATACAGTTTTATCTATTATCTTTCCGATATATATATATACATATATATATATATATATATATATAAAATACGAAGAAGTAAGATAATAACGACGAAATAATTAACAAATAATTTTGTTGTTGATAACAATAATTTTTGTTCGTTTAACTTACCATTAAATGATATGGAGTAATTATTGAAGACATCATCAAAAGACCTTTTTAATCTTTATTGTGTCAAGTATTATATATTATCCTAATATATATGATATATTCTATAATTATAACTTCAATGTGAATATAATATAATCATCATCACTTCTGCGCAGTTTATTTATGCGCATGATTGGTACTTGACGTACTAGTAGACTACTATTATGTTACGTAATTAAAAGTTACAGTGTATATATACATATATGTACATATATAGATACATATTTATCTATATACATACATATAGACGAACGCCTCCATGCCAAATTTGATAAGTATTCGTGGAGGGGAACTGGTCGGTGGGCCCTGGATTGCTCAATTGGTTAAAGAACAGTCGCCCGGAAAGCGAAAGATCCGTGGTTTCGAGTCCCGGTCCAGTTTTTTTCACGAATCTTACATATATATCTCACTCATTCATTTTATTTGTCCACATTGTTCCAATCGTTCGTATAATCTTCTACTTCTTCTTCTTCTTCTTCTTCTTCTTCTTCATTCGCGACAGAACCAACGAATCGTTGCTTATTCTCCTCGTATTATTTTACATTTCAACCAATAATCATCAATTTAAGTTATAATGTGTCGTCAAGTATTGATAGTTTTCATTTTAATTCCAGTGATATTTGCAATTGATTTTGATAATATTGATAAACAACCACCCGTTGTCAAAACTAGATTTGGTTCTATTATAGGAAAGTGGAGTAAAAGTTCTAAAGGATTAAATATCGCTAATTTTCTTGGTATACCTTATGCTGAACCACCAATTGGTAATCTACGATTTCGAGTAAGTTTTTGCAATTTTTTTTTCATCATTCAATGTTTATTTAAAAAAAAAAAAAAAAACCAAAAAAAAGAATTTCGTTGTAGAATAATTGGTTCTTATTTAAAATAATAATTGTTTGCAACACTTTTTTTTTGTGTTAGATGACTGACAGTTTTTTTTTTCTATTTGTTTTACTAAGTTTTATACTCTTATCAAAATTTATTATTATTTATTTGTTAGTTTCTTTTTTTTTTTTTTTTTACTTCTTCTTTTCTTTCTTTTAAAATAAATTTTTAAAAATTTTTTTCTTCTTTTTTTATTCTTATCAAAATTTATTATGTTAATTAGTTGTTGTTTTTTTCTTCTTCTTTTTTTTATTCTTATCAAAATTTATTATGGTAATTTGTTGGTTTTATTTTAAAATAATTTTGTCTTTTACTTTAAAATTAATTTTGTTTCTTTTTTTATTCTTATCAAAACTTATTATGTTAATTAGTTGGTTTTTTTTTTTTTTAAATAATTTTGTCTTTTACTGCAAAATAAATTTTGTTTCTCTTTTTTTTTTCTTTTTTTTTTATTCTTATCAAAACTTATTATGTTAATTTGCTGGTTTTATTTTAAAATAATTTTGTCTTTTACTTTAAAATAAATTTTGTTTCTCTTTTTTTTTCTTTTTTTTTTTTCAAAACTTATTATGTTAATAAGTTGGTTTTTTTTTTTTTAAATAATTTTGTCTTTTACTGCAAAATAAATTTTGTTTCTCTTTTTTTTTCTTTTTCTTTTTTTATTCTTATCCAAATTTATYATATTGATACTTATTGGTTTTATTTATTTATTTATTTTTTTTTACTTTTTACTTTAAATTAAATTTTAAATAATTGGTTTAACCCTTTCGCACCGGCTGCGACATATGCTGTTAAAATTTTTCAATCAATTCAAAATTCAATTGTGAAATCACTGTTGTTGTTGATGGTGCACTGTTATGGGGACGTTTATGCGTCTCCAAGTCTTTCAATTTTTTAGGCATAAAAGTTATTTTATCGAACAATCGTTTGGAGGAGAAATGAACTGATCCATTTGTAATGGAATGCACTCGGATTGATTTTTCGCCCTATTGAAAGGGTTAAAAACGTCAAAATATTATTCAAAGTCTAATTAGGGTTAAAATTAAATCTTAAACTTTGCTTGTTTTTTTATGTAACACATTATATGACAAGTTTTTAAAGAAAGTCTTTATATATATATATATTAGGGTGGGTCAAAAAAATTAATTATTTTTTTTTTTACAAGTGCCATGGAAAAATGGGTTGCTAGACACCTTAAAACAATTCTCACCCAATATGAGCTCTTAATTTTAATAGGAAGATCCTCCGCATCGCAGTTTTTTATTTTTTTTTTTTTTCAGTCTAATAGATTAAAATTCATACCTCATTATTTATTGATTGTACAGAAAAATGTTCTAGACAAATTTTATAGGAAATCAATTGCTCTACAAAAAAGGTATCTTATATATTTTCCGTAAACCTCACCATTTGAATGATATTGAAGATTGAAGTTTGATTATTTTCAGACAAATTTCATTTTTTTTAATGAATTTTATAACTCGACAATAAATAATTATTAAAAAATGCGCAATAGAAATATTTGTAGGAAATTAATTGTTCTATAAAAATGGTGTCTTATGTTTTGGCGATTAAAATTAAGCGTTCAAAAGATATTCATCATCAAACTTTCATGTGTACTGATTTTTGTCTCTGAATATCTTTTGAACGCTTCATTTAATCGCCAAAACATAATTAGACATTTACGATATAATGTTTAATCTAAATTATGTGTATATAATTTATGTAATAAGTATTCGCGTGATTTCGTCAAATTAGATTTATATTTTGGTAAACATTCTGATAAAGATATTAGAACAGGTCATTCGATTTGATAATGAAATGTGCTTATTATTAAAATATACTACAATTTTTTTGTGAATTATTTTTTTGTAGAAACCAAAAGCATGGAATAATTCATGGGATGTAATAGAAGCACAATCGGATGGTCCACCATGTATTCAACTAATCAAACTAAACACCACAATTGGCTCAGAGGATTGTCTTTATTTAAACGTCTTCGTTCCAGCGGTAAAGTAACAACAAATAAATAAATAAATAAATATAAATATCATTCAACAAATATGCATGCATTTAAAAATTAATTATCTTACAAAAAAAAAAAAAATCTTTACAAATGTGATCATTATTAAAACGCGTAGAACAAAAAATAAATAATTAAATTAAATCAAAAAATATACAAAAAAAAAAAAAAAATAAAGAAAAGAAAAAAATCAAATTGACGAAGGAACAATGGGAATACAAATAAAATCAAAATTAACAAAAACAACAACAGCAACAACAACAACGAGTACAACCATAAGAAGAACATCAATGAACAAGTACAACATGAAGCAAAAATCAAAAATATCAAACCAAAAACTAGAAAGATTACGAGAAACAAAATTTCTATACATATCTAAAGTACTTTTATTTTACCAAAGCGCACTTGATTTCATCTATCACATCAAAACACGAATACAAACGGATCGATTGCAATATGTTGGTTGATGGTGGTTGTGATGGTGGTTGGTGATGGTGATGGTGCACTAGTAGTAGGTACTACTTCCCATTGAAATCATTTTATTTCAAGCAAACGTTAAAGTTCAGATTTTTACACAAATATCACATATATACATACATGTATATATAGAAAGGGGTTTTGTCGAGACAAAATGTTTGCAAGTTACGAAACAAAAATTACAAAAAAAAATATCTAACAAATTTTCCAACTCTTTTGAAAATGGAACGGAAGCTTGATTACTTCCCAAGGTTATATCACGTGATTTAATTAAATATAAATGAGCCAAGGTTGGTTGGTCATGCTGTCATCGCCATATTTCAGCCACTTAACGCTATATCTCGCAGCTTTGTATGCTTATGAACATATAATATATAATATAATACATATATATAGTGTATATATATTTCTAAAGATATGCATTCATAAATATATAAATATATATATGTATTATATTAATTATATTTATATTTTAATAAACCTAATATGAATTAATAATAATTATTAATTTAATATAATGAATTTTTCAATCGTTATAGAAACGACCAGATGTAAAACATTCTAAACACCCTGTATTAGTATTTATTCATGGTGGAGCATTTATTAAAGGTAGCAGCAATAGCAAATTATATCCATCAACTTATTGGGCAGATCAACAAATTATTTTAGTCACGTTTCATTATCGATTAGGTCCTTTTGGTAAATATTATCCTTTTTTTTTTTTTTTTATTAAATTCACAAATCGTAGGAACAAATGAATTACGAAAAATTGAATTAAAAAAAAAAAAATATCTTATATCTTTTTATTATTTTAGGATTTTTCAGTTTGGGTAATAGCATTGCCCCAGGTAATTATGGATTAAAGGATATGGTGATGGCCTTGAAATGGGTGCAACAAAACATAGAAAGTTTTGGAGGTGATCGAAATTCCGTAACACTGATGGGTTCAAGTTCTGGTGCAGCTTCCATACATATTTTATCATTATCGAAGAAAACCGAAGGGTTATTCCATAAATATATATTACATAGTGGTACAGCATTAACACCATGGGCAGTACATTCAAAACATAAAATAAGAGAAGCTTCCGAAAGTATAGCCAATTATTTGACTTGTCCAACAGTTTTAGACGTTGTTAATTCATTAATTAGTAATTCGATTGTTGCAAATGATAATAATGATATTAAAGAAGATTGGAATGTTGCAAAATCAACAGATAAAAGATCTTACAAAATGGATTTAGAAATAATTATGTGTATGAGATCATTTGATGCCGAATCTATTTTGATTGCACTTTCACATCACGTAAATATAAAAATTCATTTTTTATTATATTATTATCTATATTAGTATTAAAAAAAATATAAATATTTAATTTAAATTTATAATATCTTTATGATTTGATCTTTAACAAATTTCTAATAACAATAATAATGATAATATAATTTCTAATAAATAATATTATATTTTGTAATATATATTTTAAATTAAATATTAAATTAATTATTATTAATAAATATTTGATAAATTATTGGAATATCATAGATATCGTATAAAAATAAAAAATATTTATTATATGTTTTGTTTTGTTTTTGTTTTTTTTTTTTCTTTTATTATAGTATTCTCAACATAAACATCCATATTGTGTTTTTGTACCTACAATCGAGGATGAATCAAGTGAAGCCATTTTAACGATGCACCCTATAGAAATAATAGAAAAAAAACTCTTTCGTGACATACCCGGTATAATGGGGGTAGTTAATGACGAAGGTTTACTCAAGACATATGGTAAAATTATTTTTTTATAATGACAATTTTTCATTGACGTAAACATATTAAATATAATATAAATAATGATTATATATATATATATATTTTTTTTTTTGTATTTATTTAGATTTATACGTGGACTCTGAGAACCTGAAAATATTTGTAGATCAATTTGACACGATACTTCCAAAGTTTTTGGAAATGCCATATGTTATTAATAGACATGGTTTTGTCAATGCCATTAAAGATTTTTATTTTGAAGACAATGATATTAACACACAATTGCAAAAGATCACAGAGGTGAGTATTTTTTTTTTTTTTTTTAAATATTAGATTTATTCTTATTTTTAATGAAACAAACAATTATTTCTTCAAATAAGTTTATTCGTGGGATTTTTTTTTAACATTAGAATTAAAAATAAAATAACAAAATAAAATCTATGCGTAAAATATTATATATAAGTTTATTATTATATTAGATCGAGTCATAAATAACTTTCGTTTTTTATGAGACAAAGAATGAGACTAATAAGTGCAAGACACCTTTCATGGAGTTTTTTTTTTTTTGCACCCTTTGCAATTGTTCAACGTATCTATTGGATTTTGCTCCAATATTACCTTTAAAAGGTTCATCAAAGTTGGAAATACGTCCTACACTCGGTTCATCTTTTAAGATCGTATACTCCAGAACGGAATTTTACAAACCAATTTCTGACTGCCCTATCAGTTATCAGTCCTGCACTGTATACGCTGCATATTATTTCAGTTGCCACTTTAGTGCTATTGCCTTGTTTCAATTTTCAAAGCATTACATGTCGAATATGCACTTTTTACTATCCATTTTAGTGGTTAAGAAAAAATTGTTAAATGTAACATTGACTGCACATAAAAAAGTTGACAGAAGACTAACTGAATCTTCATGTATATAGTGATATTGAAAATTCGTTTGTTTCGGTGACTTATAATATGTAAATACGAAAAATAGATTCTACATAGCTGCATCGAAAGTTACTTATGACTCGACCTAATAATTGTTAATATATATATATATTATATTTTAAAACTGTTTTTTTTTTTTTTAGATTACAAGCGATGGAATATTTATATGGTCAGTTTACAAAACAATGAGTTATTTATCAAAAGTCATGAAATCAAATTTGTATTTATTTTATTTCAACTATTTTGGGACATTTAGTAATACTCAAGTATTTGGTTCAAAACCTTTAGGTAAAAATGTATATATAATTATTTATAAATATATATATATTTTTTGGTTTAAATAAATGTACAGAATAATTACGTAATACGTTGTGAATCTTATTTCAAGTGTAACCAAAGGGAATGCGAAAATTTATTAATAAACATTTTCTATATTCTGTTGATTCACGTAAATTCGAACCAACGTAATACGAAAAAGTATTCATTATAAATTTGTGAAAAATAAAATTAAAAAAAAAATAATCATACAAATTTTGTATTCACAGGTATATCTCATTCTGACGATATTAAATATTTCTTTCCATCGTTGCAATACGATTTATCGTCTAATACTAAAAGTGATACAATCATGATACACGTATTGACAGAATTATGGTCAAATTTTATAAAAAAAGGGTAAGAATTAAACATTGAAACATTTAACAAAATACAACCCAAATCAAATGAATAAATCAATTTGAAAAAAAAAATTACTATCATAATTGATCTTATATTTAATGAAATATTAATGAGAAACCGTATATAAAAGAAAAAGATAAAATGAAAAATGAATACAATAATAATATAATTAATGAAATAAATCGATTAATTTAAGGTTCGAATTAAGGGGTTTGGGTTTGTGTGGTAGGAAGTTAGAGAAACTAATCAACGAAAATCATAATTATCGTTAAATTATGACCATAGAGAGAGAGAGAGAGAGAGAGAGAGAGAGAGAGGTAGGGAGAGATATGGAAACACATGGGTTTGAATATAGTATAGTCTTGTATCAAACCCATATCCGGATCATAACGTCGGACGTTATCAACAACGTTGGCACAACATTCGACCGACTGTAATCCAGATGATCCTTGGATTCTAATCGCTATTACATATTTACAGGGTGCCGAGTACTTGGAGTGTACCCAATTGGCCAGCGTATCGTAATCATCACGAATTCATGCTTTTCAATGGTAATCAAGAAGTTAATATTACGATAGAAAAATTCGATAATTATTTTGTTTTAAAAGAAAGAATGAACTTTTGGAATAATTTAATGTATAATTATAGTAATCAATTTCCTAAATGGTATTTATATGATGAAAATATTCATGATAAACATAATGGTTGTTATCAATTGCAAATAACAAACTGTTATGTTTATATTTTAACTATATTTATGATTGTTTCGATATATGTATGACACATTGATTTTAAAGATTTTGTTTGTTTGTTTGTTTTTGTTTTTTTTTTTTTTAATATTTCTATTAATTATATTTTTATTCATTTGCATTTTTAATTAGTTCTTAAGTATGTCAATTGATTATTTGCAAGTTCCTAAGTGGGCTGAAAGTTTTTAAATAAATCAAATAAATAATAATACATTGTAACATTGTAATTATGAAATATGACAAAATTTGTTATTTACAATATCAAGTATATTTGATTTACCTAATAGAACTTTTGGCCTACGCTGTAAACAATTAAATATATTAAATTTGTTAATAGTAAATAAATGTATAATTAAATCATATTTTAAGATTTGTTTTATTAGGAAATAAAATAAAACAAAATAAAATAATTTTTATGCTGTAATAGAAAAAATATTTGCTTAGAATAAAAAGATATATAAAATTAAATTATATTTACAATAATGTAAAAAAAAAAAACAAAAGGTCAACTTATGTATTAAAATAACAATAAATAATTATAAAATAATAAAATAGTAATATTATTCCAAGAAAAAAGATTGAACAAAAAATGAAACAGAAAGAAAGGCAGCAGATTTTGGTTTGTATTTTAACTGAATAATTGAATATAAGAAAAAAAAAATTAAAAAAAAAAAAAGGTAGAAAAAAATGATCGATTGACCAATTGTCAATTCAATCGTCTAATTAACAATAGTTTGGTCAATGGGAATCGACGTTTGGTATCGAGAAACAGGTTGACCAATGCCCAATGCTGACAGTTCTCTCTCATACACACACACCCACACACAAACATACATATACTCAAATACACTACAATAGTATAGACTGTGACACAATAGTAATGTGACGCGAAGTTCGATAGCCATGTTCGTGGTATTGCTCGAAATGTGACAGGCAAACAGGTTCCATTTTGTGGGTACTTAATTAGCGATTAAATATGCGTTGTTAGGAAGTATCATTTCGAATCATTATACCAATATTACTCTATATATATATATATATATATCTCTCTTTTTCACATATACATGTATAGACGCACACAGATGTATAGAAACGAGCGTATATGCAAAAGGTTAAACGCGTATAAAACTAACACAATCGTAATAATTCGTTCATGCTTGGTGACACTTAACACCATGTGAATTGGCCTATCTAATCTCCAACTAACTCTAATTGGAGATAACATAAAATTAATTGGTTGATCTGTACAATTATACATATATATATATGTATATATTTGATAACATATATTATATTTTCTTGTATTTATTTCATAAATGGTTGTTATATTACATAGTGATTTATATTAATCTGAACATCGTATTTTAATGATATAATTTTGTATCAAAATAATATATAATTATAATTATATATATATAATTTAATATTATAATATTATTAAATTATAAATTAATAGTTAATTATATAATAAATTAAATAATATATAATATATAATATTTCTTTTATATAATATAATTATATTTTATATAATAATTTTAATAATATAATATTATATAAATATATTATTATATATTATATATATAACACAATATAAAATATATATAATTAATAATATTAAAATAAATAAATAAATATATATATATATTTCTCTTTATTTTTGTTTTTCTTTTCGATTAAAAATATAATTACAATTAATATATTATTAACTATTTAAAAATTATCTATACCTTTGTTATTTTAACAGGGAAAAGGGGAAAAAATATAATTAAATAAAACACCATTATTATCAACACAAATTTTGGGCATTACCAAAATCTTAAATGGATTATTACCAAAAGTAAAATATTTAATTTTTTTTTTTTTGAAATTACACATAAAAATACTTATTACGTTTCACTCTCTCTCATACAAACGATCTCACAAATAAAAAAAAGAAAGAAATAATATTTATTATTATCTCATAATAAAATAATACCATAATAAAATGATACAAATCCTTGAGAGATATTAATTCGTAGATTTGAATGGATCATATTTAATTTAACGTTACATCTTAAGATTACAAGTTAAGACAAGAAGAAAGAAAGAAAGAAAAAAAAAAAGTAGTTCACCTTGAACAAACACAGTAGAAAAAGAATCGTAATACTGGTAAAGGTAGGAAAGAGAGAAAGCGATAGAGAAAGAGAGAGAGAGATCCCATGGGATAGGGAACCAACGTTTCGTTGGCCTAACGGTACAGGTCTAATAAACGAAAGGTATAATGAAATTCGCTCGAAATAAAGTTCACTGTGGAGGAGAGTTAACGCATATATAAAATATGCAGCATTCAGTTTCGTTGCTTTCCTACAACCCCAACGTCCCCGACGTGCTCACAGAGAAATTAATCATCTACCTTCCCCTTTTAATCCACTCATCCTTTCTTTTTCTTCCCACCCCCTCTCTCTCACTCTCTCACTCTCTCACTCTCTCTCTCTCTTTCTTTTTCACTGTGTACATCTATTCTTTTGTTTTCTACTTTCTATTTTATTTATACTACTGAATTCTAGAAGAACAAGTTGAACATACTTGAAAATATATTTATTCCTCAATTTTCAATATAATTTTGAACACTTTGACTGTCATGTTGGTCATTGGTGACTACAGCGTATGAACCTTTTAAAAAAAAAAAATTTTTTGGCTTACGGTCTCGAAAAATCAGACCTCGCAACCGGCTACGCTCAGCGTATATAATATTATACGTTTCTTGATCGAAAGATCTTCAGGGTAGGGTGATCAGTCCTATTCCGGTGATCAGTCCTACGCCGTATGAACCTTTTACAATTGTAAAAAATTACATGAAAATTGAAAGTTAACACGTTCCGTGCCATGTGTACCACCAATGGTATACGTTAAATTTGACCTGTAAGCCACGTGTACCACCGGTGGTACACTTTTGAGACAAATTTATTAAATGCGTTGAAAATCAAATGGCTTGAACGACAAGTCAAGTAAAAAGGGCTTGGCACCGGGGGGAATGTGTTAATGTATTTGAATATGACCAATATATAGAAGATACTTTGAAATAAAAAGTGTCCCATTGAATAATAAAAATAATGCCATGGTGTCCTGGGCAAAACATATGATTTTGGTGTAGCAGTCAAAGGGTTAAATAATAATATTGTTGTATATATATATATATATAAAAGCTTAAAATCATAGGATTTTGATGTCGATAGTGTAAGAGAGATTCTATTTTTATAAAAAAAAAAAATAAAAAAAAAAGAAAAATGCTAGACGAGAAGAAACGTTAAAATAGATAACACAGGATGATGTACAATGAAAGAAAAAACAATTGGGGGAAAAAGGGCGTACAAGGTGGGTTAGTAAATTCCAATTATTTTTCTAACTCGTACTAACGTATACACTGGCTCGAATAACAAGAAGAGAAGAGACGAAAAGATAGACAAAGAGAAAGAGAGAGAGAGAGAGAAAGAGAGAGAGAAAGAAAAAGAAAGAAAGAAATAGAAGAAAAGAAGAGAAAAATATTTGTTCGTATTTTAATAAAAATAAAAAATAAAACAAAAAATACAAACAAAAAGAAAACACAGTATTCAAATAAACCGTATGAACTTTGATTAGAAAAAAATATAGAAAGAGATAACAAATATATATATATATATATATAGACTTTTAAAAACGTATAAAAATTTCGAAAAATAAATAAAAAATAAAACAAATAATATCTTATATATATATATATATATATTGACAAATAAAAAAAAGTATTTAAATAAATTGCACGAGTGTTTTTTGAACGATGAAAAAGATGTTGTAAAGTTACAAATAAAAATAAAATAAAAAGACAAAAATAAAAAGAGAAAGAGAGAGAGAGAGAGAGAGAGAGAGAGAGAGAATTGAAGTAGATTCATTGATTGATGATTTGCATAGACAAATAAGTTCGAATTCTGATGAAGTTAACGCTAACACATAGGTGTTTGTTCAACACTATAGTACAATTGTTTTTCAAGTGGGTTTTCCCCATTAAAACGACACACACACACACATACGTTGACGAAAACCTAGTGTACATTTAGAGCCCTAATCTTCCTCCTTTCTCTCTTTTAGTACTTCCGTTGGATCAGAGTGTTGTTTACCATCGATACGGATATCGTTTCTTCCAATTGAACAATTTCTCATCGTAAATTTCCTACGTTAATTCGCCAAGTTTTTATCGTGCAAAACAAAAATCCAAACGTAATAATTACAAATAATAATTTAAGATTTGTATAAAAATTTCTGATACTCACATAAAAAAAAAAAAGAAAAGGTCAAACTAACCAATCAAAAATTCAACGAAACCCCATAAGAATACATCAGTTAACCATGATTACTATAATCATTAATTTCCATAACTTAGAAAGTTCGTATATCTCAACTGAATATAGAAAAGCACGATGATAACAGAATGAAAGGTGGCGAGAAAGATGCAGATATGGGATGGAGGAGGTGTATGGGGGGGGGCAAGGGATGGGGTTAAAGATATGCAATGGAAAAGTGACATTTGTAGTAACACCCTTCACCCTTCCACCCCCATCTACACCCGTTTAGTCCAGTCCAGTCTCTTTCAACGTGCAAAATGCAAATTGAGAAGCATCGATTACGACACAGAGATGCATAGTCGTAGTTGTCATGGTGTTCGTGTGATGGTGGTGGTGGTGGTGGTGGTTGTATCGGATGACATCGTCGTCGTCGTCGTCGTAGGGTCATAGGTCGAGTACGCCCGAGGGAACGCGAGGAGATCACGCGAACTGGCTCGTACAATGCGCTAATGCGACATATTGTTCGAGCCAGCAAAAATTGCCCCTCGTTACGTGCGTTCACAATAGTCAGATAGTTGTCCTTGTCACATAGTCCGTAGTCGTTTCTCTCAACCCACTATAGTATATATATATACTATATATTGTACTATATATATATAACAGTCACAGTAGAACTCGTCAACATAGTTGGTAGCACCTCCAACGTCACCTGGAATCCACGTATTCTCGATAGTACCTTTCGAAATTACACCAACTAACTATTCCTATTGCATTTTCAATCTTTCTTTTATATATATATATGTTTCTTTCTTTTGCATAGGCATCAGTGAGGTGCATTCGGACACGATATATACATATTTTTTTCTTTTTTATTGCAAAGAAACAATGAATTGCCAGGAGGCAGCAGCCAACTCTCGATCGAGTCAGAACGATAAATGTTTTCACTTTTCATCCCTCCCTAACTACCCTTTCCTTTTTTTTAATCTTTTTT